CCTGTAATGACACATCATTCTCAACTCAACATCCCTGGGTCACAATACAGAAATCAGGGAGTTCACACCCGTGTGTGTGCATGTGTCTTATATAAGATGCCACTTTTTTGTACTCCATAGAATGAGAGGAAGAAAAACCAAAGGACAAATATCCTGGTACTTTAGTAAGTTACTAATTACTAAAAATAATATTACAAAACTTAATTTATACCTTAAGAAATATCCTTCTAGCTAGTGACAAAAGTGTGAAGTTTTTCTTTTCCAAGGAGAGTATAAACAACCATGATGGGGCCGGCCCGGTGGCACACTGCTACAGTGCGCCGCTTGGGAGCGCAGTGGCGCTCCCGCTGAGGGTTCGGATCCCACATACAGACCGGTTCCCGCTCAGTGAGCGAGGTACGGGAGCAACGCCGAGGGTTGCGATCCCGTTGCCGGTCCCGGTCCGGTACGGGCGTGACACTGAGGGTTGCGATCCATTGCCGGACACGAAAAAAGACAAAAAGGAAAAAAAAAAAAACAAACCATGATGACATAAGTATAAATACACACCTGAAATACTGTTAGATGAACAAATTTAAACACAATTTCAATATAGTCCAGCATAAGAAAGAAAGACATAATATAGTTTTATTTTGTATTCAGTTCCACTTCACTAAGAGGCCAAAGATGTTAAACTCTTCCATGTGAACTGTATGGTCTCATGAATATGAGGCAACAGCAAAAGTCCAGTCACAAGAACACAAAGAACACACCCCACATTAATGGAACTGCACACAGCACCATGTCTGAGTGAATGATCTTGGGCAGCGTAAGAGACAAACAATATTGAAGCAACTGATTATAGAATGATTCTGCACTTAAATATGGGACCTATTTCAAACAGTAAAAAATTTTATGTAGTTATTGTTGTTTTAATTAGATTTGGGGTACATACAAAACAGATTCAGCAAAATAAAATATTGGGGTATACACAAGACACCCCACCTTGGAGATTATATAATACAAGATTGCAGATAAGCCATCTTTAAGTCTGGGACTTGGAGGAGAAATTGCTAAAAACAGCTGAACACTTCCAACATCTAATGGGCTTTACTTTTCTTGGCTTCTGCCCTGTATGTGCTGACAAATCTTGCTGGATCTAGTTTGGTCATTCTTTTTTTTTTTTGTCCTTTTTGTCTTTTTCCGTGACCGGCAACGGATCACAACCCTCAGTGTCGCGCCCGTACCGGACCGGGACCGGCAACGGGATCGCAACCCTCGGTGTTGCGACTGCACCTCACTCAGCCAGTGAGCCGCCAGTCTGTATGTGGGATCCGAACCCTCAGCGGGAGCGCCGCCGTGCTTCCCAAGCGGCGCACTGTAGCAGAGCGCCACCGGGCCGGCCCTGGTTTGGTCATTCTATTGTCCATGGCTCTGCCCCTTCTTCTAACTTGACAATCACCTCAGTTTTGTTAATAGTGTTCTGTTAATGGTAAGTAATGTAGGACTTCGTAAAACTGCTAAGTCTGATTCTTGGAAGAACAGCAAGAGCTCAGCTTCAGAGGTTGGGCAATAAAGAGGCCAATTTGAACCTCACGAGAGAGAGAGAGCACATTTTCAAGAAATGTAACCTTACCAAAATAGCATGAAATGCTATAAATGGTTCCTAAACTTATGAACAAAGAAAAACTGTTTCTCCTAAAATTTACTGGGGAGTTTTACTCACTCAGTGACACCAGGTTGCTGTAGGTCTCCAGGATCACATCCCTGTACAAAGTCCTTTGAGCATCACTAAGGTCCTGCCACTCCTCCCAGGTGAAGTCCACAGCCACATCCTCAAATGACACCAACTCCTGTAATGACACATCATTCTCAACTCAACATCCCTGGGTCACAATACAGAAATCAGGGAGTTCACACCCGTGTGTGTGCATGTGTCTTATATAAGATGCCACTTTTTTGTACTCCATAGAATGAGAGGAAGAAAAACCAAAGGACAAATATCCTGGTACTTTAGTAAGTTACTAATTACTAAAAATAATATTACAAAACTTAATTTATACCTTAAGAAATATCCTTCTAGCTAGTGACAAAAGTGTGAAGTTTTTCTTTTCCAAGGAGAGTATAAACAACCATGATGGGGCCGGCCCGGTGGCACACTGCTACAGTGCGCCGCTTGGGAGCGCAGTGGCGCTCCC